ATTTTACCAACACTGGATTTCAACAACAGTGCGGCGAACCAATCCGGAAGCTGAGGGCAGCTTCACTCCTAAGGGGGAGGAAGTGTGGCATCGGATTAGGGCGCAGACATATTAGACCACCTGGCCTCAGCCAATCCTGTGTCTCTATGCAATCCAATGGCATGCGGGAAAGGAAGGCAGCCAACCAGAGAAGGACACGACTGAGAAGCAGTATATAATGGGCGGCGTGGCCAGCGCGGTGGACTCGGATGGAAGGCGCCTGGCTTGTAGTTCTGGCTTGTGATTGTTCAGTAAAGCCTGTTCTGTTGTATTAGTCTTATTCATACTAGGGCTGGGGAAATCTACATTGGTGGCCGAGGTTGCGTTCGAATAACGCTAATCGAACCCCATTCCTGTTATTCTGTTGTGTTGTACGAATTCTGCTAATACCTGGGCTCGAATATTCTACGCTGTAAAATCATTGACTTGCCACAAAGATTCATGATAGAAGCTAAGGGCGGCTGTCTTTTGCGTTCATAATTCTTGCAATTCTTTAGCGGATTGTTAAGCAATTGCCGCATCCCTGAAATCAATGTGCTTTTAAAATAGTGCATCGGCTGCCCCATTGCCCTAAACTCTAGCTTTGCGAATGTCTGCTTAAAACTATTAAACCAAGCCCAAGATTTGTGATTCTCTGTGTGAAAATCGACCAGAATTTTAACGCTTGGATAAAGTCAGCGATTTGTTATCAGTGTAGATCGTAAGCAGCAAACCTTCGGAGAGGAATTAAAAGTGTTTGACTCTACTGATTTTAAGCCGTGAGTAGGTTGGGTGAGACAATGCTGACGGCTGCTCTGCCACGTTTAAGTTTGCTGAAGGACTGTGCGAGCAGGCAAAGCAGGATGTATAAATTAAGTGGATGAGAGAGATATCCGATCGATAGGAGAGGGATGTTGCTGTCTTCAATGCATCTGTTTTTGCCATTATGAAAGCTTTACGCGAAATCTGAGGAGGCCTGTCAACAGTAAAAATGTGTCAGTGCTGTGTTGGATTGAAATGTAACCTATTGCGTCTAATTTACCTAAAAGTGAGTTGGATTTAAACATGCAACGAAAGCTGTGGTTTTGAAGAAATCGAGTGCTGCAACACTAAAACGCACACGTGATGGCGTTGGAAAACAATGTCAAGGTGTTTTAGATGCTACTGCCAGCTTAAGGTTCTATCTGCGTTTCAAGTGCCGAAAGGCATTCAAATGAATTTAACAAACCGATTAACGTCACAACATCCACTTTCGAAGCATTTGAAGTGGTTCACCATGGATCAGATAATAGACATGCATTAAATTTGACCTAAAAAACATATTAATCAAAAATGGATTTAATCCGCAGGACACAATAATCATCCCACGGAGACAAATTGTTAGCATTGTAGCTTGCGACCACGTGTAATTCAAATGATCAGTTGATGGCTAACCTTCGGAACATTGCAACGTGCAGCAATTTTAAATCTTTGGTTGACCATCGAATATCTAGTATGGGTAAGCAGACGTATTTTATGCATTATCAGATGGCAGTTTTGTTAAAATTTTCTACTCGAAATTGCCTGTGGGTTAGTCAGACTAGGTCTTGATACTTAAACAGTTTGCTGGTACTACCCACATAATTGGTAAACTAGGACGATAGTATTTCCATTCGTGCACTAAATGTCTTGCAAGTCACATGGAATAGCATGGCAGGTCAAAAATAGGAAACTAACAAAACAGTTGCAAAGTTCATCTCATTTTATGTGGCTATCTAGTCGTTCACAGTGAAAAAAAAAGGATTATTTTTTGACAACCAAACTTTTTTTAAATTGTGTCCTTAGAACCAACAAATATTAATGAAACCCATCTAGTTTGCTAGAACATATATTTGCTGGGTCTTGACACGATAGAGCACTTAGACCAAGAAGAGCAGATTTTGCGAAATTTACCACAAATATAAAATCATATTCCGCGCAATCACTTACGAGCATAAATAATGAATGACTTGGATATTCGTCTATGAACATAAGCACCTGGATTATTACTTAAATAAATAGTATTTAATTTAACGACTTTCGATTAGCGACAATTAATTAATTTCACCCAAGTATTTAAGGTTAGACCAGTTTTTTCTAACTGTCTAAAAAACTATTTAACTTCTGTTACAGTTGGTACGATTAGCAAAATATAATTGTTAGTTTTGATGAATCCACCCATTTTGCGTGACATATGTAACATTTAACAGAACGGTTGTTTATTTATTGGTTAATTTTATTGACCAATAGTCTTGAGGGGTTTTGTGTTCACTATGTGAGGGAAAATGGGCCTCGTTCGACAATTTGCCCGTCTATTGTTTCCCTCCACAATGAATGCAACTCAGTCGGAAATTCAGATTCGTAATTCCTATTCCAGAAGCAAGCATCTTTGTCAAGACAAGTACATGGTAACTGACCAATGCCTTGTTGTTGACAATTATGATAATGTTTTAACTACCGCTTCTAAAAAGGTTCGATATATATTTGCACGTATTATTTGAAGGAATGTCATTACAAAGGTGGCTTGCTTCACCGTGCTTTTAGTTTGTTCTTGTTCCGCGAAACTCAACCCTCATCTGGCTCATTGGAACTCCTGATGCAGCAACGTTCTGCTTCAAAGATTACGTTTCCTTTATTGTGGACGAATAGTTGTTGCAGTCACCCCTGTCTTAATTATGCAGGTGAAACTAATGAAACTGGCGCTGTTGGCGTCAAGCTTGCGGCACGCCGTAAGGTTCGTTTTTTGGGACAAATCGACCCCTTGTTTGATGTTGTATCTTGTTTTAGGTCGCACATGAACTTGGGATTGACATTAACAAGTGCTTGGCTGTTGACGACATACACTTCTTGACTCGAATAATTTATTCGGCCCCCAATGAACCCGTAGATGGCATCTGGTGTGAACGGGAGATCGACTACCTTCTGGTCAGCATTCTTCCATCTAGCATTTTGGCTGATTCTTCTTTTCTGGCCCCCAACCCCGACGAAGTCGCTGCGACGTCATGGCTAGGTATCGGGCCGCTTGAGTCGTCTGTCAAAGCTAATTTTTGTCAGTATACTCCGTGGTTCCGTAGCCTAGTGTGTTCTGGACATCTCAGGAAAATGTGGCAGTGGGTCGGAGCTAAAGCCTTATCTTCGGAGTCGTATCCTTTGATCGATGCGATGTGGGACCGGTCGCGTATTCAAGAGTTACATTGATATCTGCTTGATCGCCTAATATATATTTTCGGATGATTTTGTACTATTTTTTCAAAAAAATCTTATATCCCACGCGTTAATCTTTCCTCTTACCTCATGTATTTACTGAGTATCTCCAACGATTTAAACTTCTTTAGAATGACGCTTGGTGGAGCTGGAACTCCTATCCGGCGAGGTGTATCTCTGATCAGTAGTTCGGCAGCAGTCGACAATGGGAACAACCAGGATGGCAGTGAATCAGATCTTTTGAATGAACTTTACAATCGTTTGGACCATCTTCAACCCATTGTAATTCCGCATCGATGACCTTTATTTTTCTTTACCCACTAAATCTGCGGTTTGTTGTTTTGGATTTTTAATACTTGACCCTCATGCCATTCAAACGTTTTGTAACTAATACACCGGATAGTCATCTAGTTAACTAGGCCCTTATGTAACTGCTATATGTTGACCTTGCATCTTAAGCAACGGCTTTTATAATGAGGCATGTGATCAAAAATGTCTTGCCTAGCATCTAATTGGCTTTATCAAAAGCACTTGCCTTTAATGAAATCCGACTTAAGTTGTATCAGGTAGGAGTATGAAGTCCTATCTTACAAAAACTGGCGAACATTTAAGTTGCTTTAGTCTAATTAAGGAGTTTGATCCTTGCGTCACGTAAATTCACGTAAATCTTAAACAGTAAAAGTTTCCTCCTTTTTCAAATCGAACCATCACTGGTAGCAAGAAATTTTCTGTTTTCAAAGACGTTAGTCGATAACAATCATGAAAGAAGACCGATGAACCTGCGTGAGTCACTTCAAAAGTCAAATCGGGTCGGTGACAAGGTCATGGTGGCAATTTTTTGGGAATGTTCAGGTATTGTGCAATGCGCATCCAATAAAAGTGTGGAGAATCTGGCGAATCACGAAGGAGTCGCTTTTTAGCAGTACTGTAGTGACGTGCTTTGCCTGCAATAAAAATCTTTGACTTAATAGCTTCTTAGTCCAGCTATGTGCTGCTGATTGTAGATTCCAGATCGTGTTTCCACTCTCCTACTGGAATCTGCAGGCGTTCGCTTGGAGGCCGGCGAAGGAGACGTGCGATTGGCGCGTTTGGTCAGCCTAGCCGGACAAAAGTTCCTCTCTGAGATCCTGACCGACACCATGGTGCATTGGAAGCTTTCCAACTCCCAGACCACGGGTCTTCTTGCCAAACCCAGCACCTCCTCTGCCCCCACCTCTTCCGCCAAAGATCCTCCGTCCACCCAGACGCCCGCCGAAGACGTGAAACCTGACATCTCTTCACTAGGTTTGTCTACGAGCACGTCATTTAAAGACTCGCGTGTCTTAACTCTCGGACCACAGTTGCGTAGACCAGATTTTGTCGGTGAAACCTAGACAGAGTGTGCAATAATTCTGGAAATTAGGTGTTTAAATGTACAGAGTACATTTGTGCCTCTTGCAATCGTCACTTTGTGTATTTTCATACTACTAGCAAATATTCACATGCCAATGGCGTTAAGTGGATTTTTTCAGTTGTCTCATTCGGGTACTTTATCATTTGATTCAAATTGACGTAATTGAGGTTTCTAATGGACTTGAATATCTTATTCCCATAGGTTCTAATGAAGGAATGTTTGTAAATCTGTATGCATGACCTTTAGACCATTCAGCTGTCAGAAATGCTGTACATAATAAATTAGGCTGGTTTTCCTCGCAGAATGTTTATTCGAGTAACTTCCGTTTCCCCAAACTTATTTTAACGTCCTTTTATTAGCTAAAACAGTTCTTTTGTGGCACTAGAGGTTGAATCTGTAGTTTCTTATTCACAGAAAGCGCTAGGCGTATTGTCATTTATCGTCTAACAAACTACTGTCAAAATGACTATAAGTAGTCCGTATGGCCGTTTTAAACGATACCTTGCCCCTCGGATTTGATATCTAGGTCGTACGGCCTGGGTTTCTTTTGATACACCCCACTGCCATAATTCCATGGGTGTTGGATCTCTCTGAGAATAATACACATCGAAAAACGCTCTAAAACTAGTCAATAAAATGCGGCAAATCCTTGACTTCACTTAGATTTATTATGAAGTTGCATCTAATGCCTGTCCTCGCAAATGAGACTTGTCCACTGTTCACAGGGCATCCATGGTGAAATGTGTTGTCTTGTTTCCAGCACAGCCGAAAGCGGCGCCAACGTCGAAACCGGAGAAGGTGGATAAACGCGTCACCTTGACGGTCGAGGACCTCATGGCAGCCCTTAGAGACCGCGGCATCCACGTTGCACGGCCGCCTTACTACAAGTGACGCACAAGCACTGCCTGTCTGTAATTTTATTGGTTCCTTCCAAAATCACCACGTCGTTATCATCATCACTCATTGGTTCTTTCATTGGATTTCGGTAAATAGTAATTGTCAGAGGTGTGTGTGTGTGTGTGTGTGTGTGACATCGTTAATGCTAATTCTTCCTGTTTTACGACTGCATTCTCTCTTGTTACTGGGCCTTTCGTGTTTCTAACGCTCCAACTGTTGGATAACCTAGTCATAAAACAACGCCAAAAAGTGTGCATTCTTTTATATCCTCACGACCGCTTCAATCAGGTCTAGTTGGACCCAATGGTGTGCTATTCTGGCATCTTGGCGCTGAAGGTCTTCCATAGATCTAGTTGATTCTGGACAATGGTGAAGGCAGATCGCAAAAGATTAGACTCAACTCATAATTAAGCAGTTGGAGGATGCCTCGTGAAGATTTAATTAACTGCTTTAGAGGTAGACCTGGGAAGTGTTAGGTTTGTGATAAATTTTTACATCTCGATACAACACGTTGGTGCAAACCACTGACTTGTATGTAGAAATCGACTTCCCAGCAACTGGAGCTCAACGGGTTTGTGGTACTCATGAAAATTGTTCCAGACGGTTACTGCGGTTAAGCGAGGTGAGGTTTGGTGTGAGCAGGGATATAGGTGCTGAGCTTTGGGTATGTTTAATCAGCAGGGAACACTAGCGTGGTGCACTGAGGACGTCTGACCATAAAGGTAGGCTTTTGCGACAAATCCAATTCTTGGCACAGCTCTCAAGAAATACCTGGGACTAAGAATTTACCGAGTCCATCAATGGAACAGATTCATCATTGGGTGGTTTCTTCATCCCCATTTCTCTAAGAGTTTCATCGCCTTGTCTTTAATCACACATGGGTTTCCTTTTCACAACATACAATTCCGGACCTTGCGGTAACAGTTAGCGGAAAATGGTACACGTTGTACTAATAAGCTGTTAGTGACTAGCAAGTTAAAGCAAACACTCGCATATTGCGCCCATGTAGGTAGTTGGCAACGGACTAGCATGAACATTTATTCGCTTCACCGCCTAACTGTCCTGAATTGAGGGATATGCGTAGTGTCGTTGCGGGCTGGTTGACTCTACGAACTTAGATAATTCAACCTCTGCGTTTTTAGTGGCCTTGAGTGAATATCAGCAGCCAATTAAGGCCAAGGATATTTCAGTGGAGCGAATGTATTGGATAGTGGAGTCAGCATAGACGAATCGAATGCATTCTAGCTGGCTTGTGTCAAGTCAGTAAGGCCTGTCATGTTGCATCCGTCGTCTTTAAACTGGGTCACGGGTATTCGCCTGTGACTTTGAAAACCACTATCTTTATTGCAGCCTTATTTTATCAACCTTGCTCTTTAGAAGACATTAACAATCCACAAAAGTCGGATTTTTAAATTATGCCTGATTCCAGCGGAAATCATAATGTCCACATTGCTGTCTATGACTTTTTCACTGTCGATAGTATGACAGAAATTAAACAGGACTAGCAATTATGAGATTATCGAATTACTGCCGAAGTATGTGGATCCTAACACAGCCTAATATTTTACGGGGAACCTCTTTTTTACACCTCTTCTTTAAGAATTAAAACCACTTAACGTTCTTAACACCTTCGCTTCCATTTTGCCAAAAAATTACCCCTATCTATGGACGACAAGTAGAAATTGGGAGGGTAGTCAATCATAAGCCAAGAAAGCAGGAATCATGGAGATTTGTTGAAGGTATATTATGAAGAGTTTGTCGGGTTTTTCATGAAGTTTAGGGAGCCTCTTTGTCAAAAATAATGGTATACAAAGTCCTCGTGGTTCTACTAAAATGCTTATAATTACTGGCAAGTCAGGGCGATATTACTTTTATATGTATCAGTTTGGGTTCGTCTTAATAAATATCTGGCCTATAATTGCGAGGGGTTTCAGTTAATCCCTCCGATACTGCAGTTGAGGCAAACTGTTTGCATCACCATTGACAAGAATTCAGACATCTGATTTCTCAGTGGACAACACCATTTATTGCTTTGAACACGGTCCGGCTTGAATTCACCTAGATGCAAGATCCAGCTGGGTTTTAACATGTCGTTGTAGAACAGAATATTGTTAATAAAATATTGGAAAAAAATCCTATAGCATTTAGGATTATGCTGCAATAATTATTGGATTTGACATTGGAATGTGCGCGTCTTGCTTAATTCGAATGTAGTGGATGTACGTTTAGATAAAATTTATCGACTTGCCAAACAGATAAATTAATGGTCACCAGCATTCCAGCCATTCAATAATTTAATAAGACTGGCAATCTAAATGCAGCAATTATCGTTCATTTTCCTGGATCAAATAATGATTCGGTGAACACTATGGTCACAGAAATTCATGCTAAATGCGGTCCACATAGAACGAAAATAATCAGACGTCTGTAAACGTTAATTTTGATGCCTCATTCCAGTAGAAATTCTTAGGTGTCCGACAGAATGTTATATTAGCCAGACATAGCAAATGGCTTAATATATAATGTGAGTTATAATCATGTAAATGGTTTTGATCTATTCAGTAAGCCAATTAATCAACTTCTTTTCATTAAAAATTATTTTGCGAATCCCGCTTAAACCACAAAATAGGAATAGTATGCCAATATTCATCAACTTCGAGTATTATTCTTGTTTCGATTAGGATAACGACATATGGTATGGATCTGAAACGCAAATTGGCGTCACAAATAGGTAGTTAATGGGAAAAAGAGTCAGGATGCGTCCTTTTTGAACCATTGTAATAATCGAGTGCACCTGGAAAGGCATTTGACAATCATGGAAACACTAGAAGGCGACGCGGAGCATAGTTGAAATAATTAGTCTCTTGTGAAACCGTCAAACCGATGTCAGTGTGGGCGATCGACGGATGTAGCGTTTTCTTTCCACTTATATTCAATCAAACAATATTTTGCCTAAATAATCTAGTGTTTTTTTAACGTGCTGTAAGGGCTTAGCAGCTGAATCAGGTCTAATAAACCTTGGAGTAGCAGAAGACGTAGTTTTGGAGTGTGGGAAGCAACAATATGTGGCTTATTTCAGTCTGCTTGTTGTGCTACATTGGTGGTGCATTCAATTGCAAATTTCTGTCAAGCACAATTGTAATGACATACTATATAAGTATTAAAAAATTTTTCATCTGCAAAATCGTTAATTTGTTTATTGACCTGAAGCAGCATGACTTTCCCCACATGCTAATTGCAACTGGTGAAGTTTAAACCAAGTACTAAAACTAGTCACTGATTAAAGCAGCCGTTATCGTATGTTTGATTTATGCAGTTTATCAGTCTTCGAACGAAACTTGTGAATAGGGATATTAATTTATTCTGAACTGTGAAGTGAGGTTGAGCACTAGCCAAAAAACGGAAAGTGGTATTCTTGTTAATGCACATAGAAAATCGAGGTTTTTAGAGCTGTCAACAGTAACAAACGACTTCATTTTGTCACTTATAAAGTCAATTAATGCCTCATATTAGTGGTTTTTAGACAATTTAAATAAAATTCGCTAACGAAAAGTGTAAAACAAGCATATATCGAATGGGTCCCTGGAACCATGGGATACAAAATTAGTTTGTGGATATTATGTAATCAAGCAGCAAAAGTTACCAGTTCCTAAGGCCATTTTGTATTATAACTAATTGACAGCCTTGACTAAATTATTAAATTAAGATGGTCTCCTTTGTAATTCTTGGGAAAATTTTGCGATATTGTAATTGTATATAATTAAAAACTAGGGTTATTTTCTGAGAACACTTTTTGTATCAACTGTTTGCATAAATTGAATGGTAAAGTTCTGCCAAATGGTGCTAGTGTTATGACAACAAAACAAATAAAGCTCGTAATGTACAGAAGTGGTTAACACCTTATCAATGGCAATAATAGTTAACATTATCTGTTACAACCAACGTTTATGGTGCCGGCATATTAGTGTGTTGATTTCAAGATAGTTTTCAGTTCTAAAAAATCTCATGGTATATAGTTCATGCCTATTAAAAGATTTAAGTCCATCCTCATGTTCATTTTGTACAATAAACCAAAGTGGGGTGGCCCAAATTATTCTGAATCGTGTTTTTTGTGGACCGGCAAATTGCATTTGAATGACCTTAATCCCAAGTAACACAATATTTAAATAAAAGCATTTAGCTAAAATTTAAAATTGGTTGTTGTCAACATAGATTTGTGTTTTTAGGGTTTTAGTTTTATTCGCAACTCAAATTAGCCGTTATTCGAAGTCGACTAGCCTGATTGGGTCTTAACTCAGGCTGCATTTTGACTGTGGGCGTGTTTTTGGATGTCATTTGCGTCTAAGGTAACATTCGCTGTTTCGTGTTTCACAACTGTTGGGATTATCGCTTACGTACACATTGAACAAGCTTTGGAACGGGAAGTAAGTTAAATGCCTTCTTAACGATTTTATTTTTAGCGACTTAGTGCAACAGTTCGAGAGGAAATCGAGGCATCTAAGGCCCTCATAAAGGACCGAATAGAACCAGCGTATGTTCATTTCGTCTGTTTTAGTTTTAGGTCATCGGAAATTCCAGAAAAGTCGTCGGGATAGTATAAACTATGACTCAACACGTGTTGACAGTTAAAATCCCTTTTCCGAACAAACCAGCTGCTGATATCGCTTACTGCACCTTGATGGTAGACGATGAACCTCAGCGGTCAACAACAATTGTAAATATCTCAGTCGATGGCAATATCTTGTGTGCACAATTTTCCGCCGATTTTTCAAATGAACACAAATTCGACGCCATATCACAGTTGAAAAAACTTCGCATATCAGTTAATCATTGGCTTGATTCTCTGTCCTTGATTTGTGAAACCATGGCCGAGTTCGGAGATCCTCCTGCGGATATGCCAGAGCCAACTCGTGCCATTACAGGGAATGTAAACGCATGACTTTAAATAAATTTCGCCCAGATCTAAGTCTTCTTGATACCGCAACCATAAACTATCGCTTGCCTAAAATTGTTACATTTTTAGAAATGAGTGAACGGCTTGATGGGTTGTTTTTGAACATTGCGCAGAATTGCCCGGATGGCATCAGAGGACTGTTAGATGCTTTTTTCGGGTTCCTCTCCCGTAAGACAGATTTTTACTACGGCGCGGCCATATCTGATGCCAAACAATTGGTTTTGGAGCAGTTCGAAAAACACAAGGTAATTGCATAAGCAATTTTTTTCATACCTATTGAAGGCTCCTGCTCTTGAACGCCACAAAAAGGAGCAAATTGAAATGAAGTCCAAGGAGGAACGTGAAAAGCGTCGTCGGGCTGAACGCGCTGAAGAAGCTCTTCGCAAAAATGCTGCGGCCGGTGATGGTAGGGCAACTTTGTACTATTTAATTTCTCCTGTGGAAATATTATGTGCTGCTTTTCCTCATACCTTCTCATTACTGTTTTTCCACATTTTTCGTGATCGTATGTTGTGGAAGTCAACTGTGTCGATACATTACTTTTAGAAAGTCTTCCGTGGTGTTTTTATCGTAGTACTTCAAAACGCTTTTGGTTTAGTCATATCAATAGGTCTAAACTGTATGTGCATAAATCCAATGCCCGAATGTTATGGCCAATGAACACAGTTCTATTCAGTCCCTTTTCGTTTCTTTTGTAGACATTCATAAGGGTGTTGTGATAGAGGAAGTGAAAGATGACGATGAGGCGGAAGTGAAGGCTGCAGAAGACGTGAAACCGAATGGGGAAGAAGGCAAGAAGGAGAAGCCCGACATGAAACCGGTACGAGTGGGTCCTTTGGCTGAAGGCGAGGAGGAGGACGAAGAGGATAAGAACAAGCTGAAGCCAAATGACGGCAATGGCGGTGATCTAGCCAGGTACCGATGGACACAGACTCTGCAGGATGTTGAGATTCGAGTCCCCACTAAGGTAAATTAGGTGAATCGATATATAGCTCTGCACAACCTGGCGATTACTGTTTGTTTGCTTATTTTTTCCTTTTCACAGTTGGATAGACGAATCAAGAGTCGTGATGTTGTGGTTGATTTCAAGAAGAAGCACATAAAAATCGGTCTCAAGGGCCAAGAACCCATTCTCGAGGGTCCTCTTTACAACGAAATTAAGGTAAGTATTCTGTTTGAAGGGCACAGAAGCGGTAGTGGAAGGGCTGGTTTACTTCAGCAACATCTTACCCCTCCACAACCAAATTTTTTACTGTAGTTTTTTTCTAGTTCACGTAATGCCTACTGGCGTAGTAAACGTTAAGAAACCTTAAAATCCTGGCTGAATTGTACCGAAAAGGCCAAAATAGCTTCATAATGGATGTTCGCGTTGTTCTTATCTATACACATTGTGCGCTTTCATCGTTTCAGTGACCTTGGAGCATCATCATTGACTAAATTCCTTTACTTCATGCAATCAGTTCTGCATTATAGACTGAGGAGTCTTCGTGGACCCTGGAAGATGGCCTTGAGATTGTAATCAACCTGGAGAAGATCAATAAAATGGAATGGTGGTCGTGCATAGTGCAGGGCGAGCCCGAGATCAACACGAAACGCGTCCAGCCCGAGAACTCCAAGCTCAGTGACCTTGACGGGGAGACGCGCAGCATGGTTGAGAAGATGATGTACGACCAGCGGCAAAAGCAACTTGGCAAGCCGACTTCAGATGAGCAAAAGAAACAGGAGATGCTGAAGAAGTTTATGGACGCTCACCCCGAAATGGACTTTTCGAAGTGCAAGTTTGGATGAGTCTGGCGTGTGTTGCCCCTATCCTACCTTGGGATATCTTTACCCGATCGTTAATTAACAAATTTTTAAATTTTAGCTATTGTACTTGTTTTTGATTTCGTAGTTAGGGTGTCTAAGATTACAGAGGCCTAGTCGATAGTCCTTACAATATCGTTTTAAAGGCAACGGGAGTTTTCAACAGTGCTTATTACCGAAGTGTAGCAAGTAGTAATTAGGTAGTGGGTGCGTTCACAGCACGAACATAATTTTAGTCATTTACCGTAACAATATGAAATAAGGAAGTAAAGTCCTAGGTAAAATATACTTAGCTGGATTTTGGGAACTAGATTTTCTTATTTGTCTGTGGTGCCTGTGCGGTCTGGCCAACTTTCTGGACAATATTGAGACCTTGTTAGTGATGCTGTTCTCCGACTACCTGCTGAAGGTTTCAAACGGTCTCCCAGCTAGTGTAGTCACCTGCCGAACCAAGTTTGCTGGTCAGGGAGCTGGCCTTCCACGCGTCGTCCTGTGACGCAAGGTCGATCCAGAACTCGATGTGACCCATGGATCAAAGGATGTGAAGGGGGGCACTGCACATGGATCAGATATCGAAGCCAAAATCGCCGAAGATGACGAACAGGCAGACTAGCATTCTGCAGGAATGCCTTCCAACGCATTTCAACTGCTACCGTTAATGGAATTCTTATTAGTGCAGAGATCAGACAACAATGGACGAGCTGTCACGCCACATAACTGTTCACGCAAACTGCTCATTTCTAAGCGCGTATCATTCAAATCACCAGACAAAGATGTCCCAGGCATTTCTAAATTTGCGCCTGACTTCAACTTGAATTGAGACTATTGCCAGGGACAGTAAAGACTGTCCGCATAAACTCATGTCTTACCCTATTCAGACATAGATTTTGCGTAAGACAAGGGACTTGGGAATGATCCCGTGAGCGCGTGTTCTGAGTAAAATTAAAAGTGTAGCGTTTAAAACCTGTCTTACTGATCGTTGTAAGTAGATCAGCGTTGTGGTAATAAGCAATGCCGTTTCTGCTCCCGTGTTGGTTGTTCGTCTAGAACTGTTCAAAATGTCGCATGAAGTCGACAGCCATTTCTACCAACGTGAGTTGCACCTTTGGTGACTTCAGAATTTGTGTTACAGACACAATCGTGGACTCCTGTCGGTAGTTTGACGTGCCGGTCGCAGTAACACGAGTCGAGAATCTGTTGACAAGCAAGACAAGCGATCTAGAGAGAGAGCCGGTTTCACGACCTCACGAGCAACAAAGTTATTTCTGCTGTTTTTGCTCTGACCCGACACCGAGTACTCAGAGAAATTTTTTTATCTACAAACCCCTCTACCCATTCGATTGGCATTTTTCCACTGTGCTATTTCGATGCCTCTTTCAGCGGAGTAAAAACAACAAACAACTAAGTGGACAGAATGTGTGGAAAAGGCAGAAAACGCGATAGCAAAAGCACATTATTGGCAAGGTTACTTTCACGTTGTGTGATATTTAAAAATATGAAGCAAGTTGATTTCAGCATAAAGCTAAATATGGCGCGGAGCCGGAGTTGTTAAAATTTAGGAGGTAATCCCCAAGTGAACGCTGACGAAGCTAGGAGAGGAATCTGTGTCTCATTTTATAGACAAACACGGACTATTTTCTTGGTTTATTTAATGTAAATCTCCCACTTATCGGCTTCCACATAGTCACAGCCACCTCATTCTGTTCTTGTAGTGTTTTCTGTTTTTTTCGCCATATTTTTGTGGTTGCCTATGGCAACTCAGCTGCGTAAGCGTCCCTTCTTACCAGTTACAAGCACAAATGTGTCAGACACAAATTATGCTGAAGATGTGAAGTGAGATTGTTTGTGGAGGCGAGTAGGGAATTAATACGCCCGTATGAACATTATAGTTAATTTACTAGTTTTAAGCGTCAACTCATTGTTCCCAGGCAGGAATCCAGAAATGTCTCCGGCACATTCACATAGGCCATTTTGTTTCAATAAAATTGAATATTTTTTCAGTGTATCTATGACATAGTCGTACATAGAATTTAGCCATTAGTTGAGGCCTTAGTGTTTTAGTAGCTACAAATCAAGCAATAAGTAATAAGCGAGTCATCTGAACGATCTCAAAATAGCCAATCACGTCCAGATATTTTGTCCAATCAGAACCCGAGGCTTGCGCTCTTGTAGCGCGTACAAATCAGTCTGCCGACTCGAGACAAAGAATTGTCTTGGTGAAGTGGTGTTCATGTTTTAAAGCAATGTGTGAATCGTAAAAATTATTTGTATCTTTTATTCGGTGATTATACTTAAGTAGACGCATCCGAGGTCATTTAGGCGAAAACAAACCAATAAAATTTAAGAACTATTCGTAGCGATAGATAACGCAGCTGTGTTATTGTAAGTGAAAAATTCAGAATGGTCAACCAATAGGAGATTCGGTGCTCGTGTAGGGGCCATTAAGATCCAGAATTACTGACATCGACAAAGGCTTTGTCTAATTCGGAGTAAAATTTTGTACTCTTAAATGCATAAAAGTAGGAATCTATAGATCAGCAAAGCTTGAACACAAAAACGTTTGGTTCAATTTAGTAAGCGGAAACTATGTGAGGCCTGTCCAAATGAATTCCTTTTGTATTAAGGACCAGCAATCACCTCCAGACCTGTCTTAGTCCAGCCTTGACCAATTTTATTGACCAGCGCATGTACAGTTTGGAGTATTCAAGTTCGTTTAGGCTGGTTCATACATCAAATCGATATCTAGCAGACCTCTTTTGACATTAACGAGAATTCTCAGGTTTTGGTTAAGTTACTTTAGGATAAAAAGCATACAAATTATAAAGGATTACAGTCACTCTCCCCTTTATGTATAACTTTGCAAAAAAAACTTAGTCTTACTGAGAAGCAGAAACATTTAGTTAAAAGATGGCCCAATAAAAGTAAATTAACATCATGTGTGGGCAATAGGAGGCAGCACGATTCTTTTGAAATGAATATCAATTTCCCAGTGTGTCGAATGCCCTGTGCCGTGTTTGTTAGCTTTGCCAAGTACCGCCTGAGTGGAGATCCAATCTCACACTGATTGAATGGAGTAGACGTTACCTTTGTAGACGTAGAATTTCCCTATCGATTTTGCTGTGGACACTTTTCAGCACCTGCAATGACACAAAGCGGAGTGACTCATAATATGTCAAGGTGATTATAAACTTGATGGAAAATTTGACCAGTTCGGTGTGATTTCTAATAGTGGAGCAAAACAGGGAACCCTTACTCTGAACACTTCATGGGGGTACCACGTTCCGTAGTGAAGCTTCGGTTCGGCTTTCAGGAGTGCGCAATTAGAGCAGGTTTGGCCGTGAAGGCAGTACCACAGACTCCAGTTTTGTTGACCGTCTTCATATTCCAGACACAAAGCGAACGATGCCAGAGCCGATATCGACGTCCAGATCTTGCCACAATCCTTTAAGCAAGATAACAACAACACGTATGGTTGGATCCTTTCCACGAATTAATTTGATCGGAGTATATAAGCATTCGGAAGTTGTAAATATTAGAAGCAGATTGTATCTTACTTAGGTAAATGATATTTCCAATTAGCTCCAATTCATCGTATTTTAGAAACAGAAATGATGAACTAATAGTAATCAGTAAAATATAGAATAAATTATGGACTTAATTTCTTAAAAATGATGAAAGATATTGATTTAAATAAACTTGAAATGCTACAAGTAGGCTACCGTGTTTAAATCTCACATTAGCTAATGCGCCCTTTTCAATTTACCAAATAATCAATAATACTCATACAATCACCTACTGTGCAAGTAAATCGAACTTTAGCTGATTCGGTTGCTCCCCAAACGCAGTTGCTATAAGGCACCTCGGATGGCGAATCGTAGGGTCGAAGTCGCCATCGTAGATTTGTTGGGTAAACAAACAGACGGTAAAACGTTCCAATCCAGACTATGTGAATGCTTAAAATGGCGCGGTAATTTAAACAAAAACATGGACCATACTTTTGCTGAAGCCAGAAGTAAAAATCCTCTCCAACCTCCTTGCTGACCTCCGTGGAGAGAACAGGAAGGGACAACAGGCCAGCCACATTCTTCCTCTCGTACACATACAAGTAGTCGTTAATGCAACTCTCGCACGTGCAAATAGACGACATGGGAGGAATTGGCGAATCACAGCGAGGCTTCATCGTAGACGCAACGACCATTGGCTCACACGGCGCATTGGGATGCGCGTATTTATGTATTCGGAAAGGGCGTGTGGACAAGTGGTTGACCAATAGGATCAATCCGGAATGTCAACTCCTACGTAACTGGGCGATTACCAAACGAGTTAGTCACATCGCTGAATGACTAAAGCATGGGATACGCCTGTGGCCGTTGACGCATGCACGCATTCACCCTAATTGGGTATGACTAAGGATTAAGCAATGTCCACTTGTTTCAAAACTCAACTGCCTACCAACAGTAACTGGATGACAGTATTATTGCCGTGAAACATTTAAACCAGTCTTCCCTACACCGGTTAAATGTTGTTTTAACACAATATCAAAATGGACTTATTTGAATTTGTACTAAATTGGATCCAAATGATCATTTTGCTAGAAAACTTTTACAAACAGTCTAACGTAACTCCTTGTTTTACTTACTGACTTCCGTCTGAGCACTGTTTAATTTTTCGTTCAACAGATAACACGGGAAGTCCTTCGTTGTTAAGATCCTCTTCGATGTTATTCCTTTCCGGCGTGTCTGCCTGCTAGGGTCTAAAGCCACTGCCGTTATTTGTAGTGGGTTGTTGATGTGTTTGGCGCGCATCTACACTCGATGGATTCTTTGATGGCTTTAGATTGTTCTTTGTATTGAAAGAACTTGATTTTGTGGAATGTTTAGTCGCAGTAAAAAAAAAGCTGATTACCGTATACGGTCATCTAATTGGGCAGGCTTTGAGGGACGTCGAATGATGTCGGATGTCCTTCAAAAATCGTAACAGGCGTTGACCAATTTTGTTTAAAGTGTCTCAGACGTTAGTAATACGAGTAGGATTCAATAAATTTATGGGCAACTGTAATAAATTCTTCCTTTCACGAATATTCCGTCAAGAAATGCGAAAGAGACATGTGGATTGCACTTTTGACAACCTTCTGAAAGATGAGGTTTCAAAACAATAAAAATTCGCAGTTCATGCGTTAATAAACGAGAAATAGCAACGATAATGCATCGAACGTGCTGTTGATGATGATAACGTATTGATCGATTGACTTCCAAGCTCAACAGATTTGATACTATGTGGTTATACTCTATCGGGTTGTTTAAATGCACTGATCAATGTCACACCGCGTCCTCTATCTGTTGAACGACTCGCGTCGAGACGCCGTGGGGTTCTGTATACTGTTCCAATGGTCATGGCGTCTTAACGTGTGCCATGTCAAAATTGATGCGCACGTTAAACACTTGAAAATTACCATGGGACATATTTGTCTTAGAATTTCGTAGAATCATTCTCGAAATGCTTATACTTAGCCATAATTAGTTTTATTTCCCCATATGATGTTAATATTGTGCACCAATAAGAATCTGGCGGTCGATATGTATTTCGCTATTGTGTGCTAAGACACACAATTATGGCAAAAAAGGCGAACTTGTGAGTTAAGTAAGAAGTGTTGAATATTTGCAAATAAAATCAATGCCTAAGTGTTGGTTTAATTTCTGTTCAAAATATTAGCATTTTCAGAAACCAAAAGCTCTGGGTCTGGGACAATTTATGCAATTAGATTTTTAATCAGGTGAGTGAAATTGGTAAAAATTTTACAAATTTATACCTGTAGTCATGACTAAATGTCACTGTCGGGCCCAGACAAGTACCAAATTTACCCCAAGGCTGCTTTTGCGTGATCTTCCCCGCTGGTGCTTCCTATTTTTAATGCTGGTGGCAATTTCGTCTCGCGTGACTTGGCACAGAAAAGTAGCTACTAAAAACGGCAGCCTCGAATCTCGTGCTGAGGTACACGGACTGCTCTCGCACGCGTCCTTGTACCTATGAGGGCGTCGCACACTGATGACCTTGACGAGCCAATCAAGAATGAGCAACTCGATTCTCACGTACTTTAAATCCGTCAGAGCAGGACGCTTGGTAAATAGGTGCTTATGAGGATGCGGGGCACATTCTAAGCCAGGTCAATTTATTTCCTGGCGCAGAGTCTCAATGTTGAGGGTATTTAACAGTTTTAACATTTACTTTAAGATGACTTTCGATGTCGCAGGTTATCTTTTGCCAAATAATTTAACGGCATTTAAGTTCTTCCAGGTTAGTAGCCTGTTTCACAGATCTAACTGCGACACCGCAAATGGGCCAGAACTCCAGTATGTTGCCCTTATTTACTTATTTGCTGTTCTGCACTTTATACCATTTGATATTTATCGTTCGGAATGACGAACAAGTTACACGATTAATGTGTTATTTGTTGTTAACCTTTTGGGTATAAGTGAGTTATAAATTCTGTAACTTCGATAAATTGCATGTACTTGACATAATTGAAAAAAAGTACCCAATTCAACACACAGACTAACAAAGATAGCTTTCTTAAACCGTGGCAGCTTTGAACCCAAGGCTACAGAGTTTACGAATTGGTCGAATTAGCGAGTGTTAATCAACGCGATTTACAACAAAATGCAATGTTCTGAAACAGCACGGCTTTGATAACTGCTACCTCAAACTGCCTAACTAAACGAAATTACTATAACGGACCTAACAAAACTTGTCACTCCTCAATGGTCTAATTGACGTTTTTTTTTTAAATTACTGGCTATTTAAATTGATTTAAGTAACAACAGAACAACATGGCGTGTGCGTTTGAATTGAAGGGCCAATTTCCACCCTTCGGGAAATGCAAATAGTTTTGTCTTTTTTTTAAAAAAAAAATTGGACATTTATGAACGCTACAAAGATAGCTAGACTAATCAGAATATGTTCTAATCAAAATCAAATTCTGACCAGATACTTGCGTTAATACAATGGATTATTCGTGCAAACGTATTCAAAAAACCAGCATTAAGCAAATTTGGTCATAAATTTATTCAAATTAAGACACTTTCCTCATTTGTAAATTATTATTATCACCAAGATGTAACAGAAATTATAAAGTACGCATTTAATTTTTTTAAATATTTCCTGCGTTTATGATTTCAACTATGATAGGTTCCTCACAAATTCCAAAATCTACGAAATTTAGTTTAATTTAAAGAGCCTTAAGAGCTTCTGAAATCAAAATTGGTTAAAATTTATTTTACTGCGTAGGGTTGCAGCGAATTAACAGTGATCGCGCCTCGGTGAACTCCGTTTACGGTGGCAATGACTCATCCCCTTTTCATTGGCTACTGTCTGCCGTTAACTCATCCACACACCAGGACACACTTGGCTGGCGTGGCGCTAATGAACGGTTGTGTTCACTGTTCCCTCTGTTCTCTCCGTCCTCGGGTTGTTACGTGCTGTTAACTAGAGGGTTGTAAGATGGCGCTAAAACTCAAGGTACTGAAGGATCTCCTAGTTAATCGATTCAGTCGCATGTCTGAGCAATCTTCTTCCTTACTTTTAACTCAATTATGTTGAAGAGGACACGTTTTAACTAATAGCGACTTCTGCAACAGGGAATAATCTTGTCGGAATGCTAGCACAACAAAGACATTCCATAAGGTTCAACAACCTATCCGTTTTTTCGTAAACAACAACAACAGTTAAGAAGGTAAACAGAGCAATTAACAGTAAACGAAAGTAACCAATAGGAATGCTCATTGCGTTGTTTAGTTGAAATAACACCTAACGTGAGTGCCGCTTGTTCAGTGAGCACATCGTAATCGGCGCTAAGTAATTACCAGTATTAAAACAACCGATAGATCAGTACAAATTTGGTAAATGTTACATGCGATTTAGAACAAACAATGCCAGACGCCCACATTAACACTCGACTTGACTATTGTCTCTAATAGTCGCGAAAGTTCAATGACACTTTTTATCCAAAAAATACACTTCAAACCAACTTACGCCCACATCCTCGTAGCTATTTCGCCAGTGTTTATCGGAATGCATGCTACCTAATCACAGGGGGCGTAGGAGGCAAACGCATGATTCAAGGAACAACCTGTTCGGAACGGCGTTTATGTGGGTGGTGGCACGTTTGTAGCTCATTAATTTCATATTTTTAGTTCAAATGACGCGGCAATCAGAATGTTCCACCTGTGGGTTCATTTAGTTAAAATTTTAAATGCATAACTATCTGTTTAGGCACAAAATAGCCAGTTTCATGGTATTGTGTAACTCTTCACTCGTGTGATTTTGAATGTAGAAGAGGAAATGCACCTCGATTTAATCTAGATTTATTACAATTTACGTATTTTTCCCCTGCCGTACAATGCTTGTTGTTCAAATAATTGCAAGATTAGGAGAAAAACTATTGATTATTGGTTGATTTCAAATCACGAGGCGATTGGATCCTGGTTGGTTACCTTGAACCAATCAAAAGCATCTTTGCATATTTCAGCTGTTTTGTAAGCGGGTTTTTTTCCAATAATATTGGCAGTAAAATGCTCAGATGTGCATCTTTACCATAGCAAATCGTGCAATTCAGGTCAACAAAAAAACTAACCATCCTCATTGCAGGAAAATAAGCAAGAACGTCAATATTTAAGTGGGTGGAAACCCTGGTTTTTAAGTACATCCAACAACCAACTACATTTAGCGAGCTTTTGAGCAACAAAACACAGCATCTTTTTGCGTTTTGACCTGTCCTGGAATAAAATGAACAAACTTTTTACGTTTACCATGTTTCGTATGTTAAATGTTGTATTTCTTTCAATTCTGCTTCCTTTTGCACACTCGATTTTATGTCAACTACATGTAGCCATTTTCCATTGCGATTTGATTGCGGTAATTTAAACAATCCTGAAATAACATTCCAGCCTTTCTATGACTTGGTTTTATGCATATTTCGTTGTTGAAATAAATCAATGTAATAATTAATATGCACAAATGATAACGGTAGCTCAGATTAAAAAAATTGGGAGCAGTATTAATCGTTCATTTTTGCAAGACAATAATAGTTCCCCTTGCATCGACCTTGCGTAGTTTGGATTTGCCGTCTAAGTAAATTTACTTAATGCTCCAGGCAGACAGATTTCTGAACGATGATGCAGCGTGTACCTTTTCAAAAGTAGAAGTCACGCCGCAATTCACGATGCAGAGACAACAAACGCACGAGATTGGTTGGATTAGGAAACCTCCACCAGAATCACGTGGGCCTCATTATGTGCACATTGCTGATCTATAAGTAGTGTGGCAAAATGACTAGCACAACAAGCCTCCAGGACCTATGCCTGAAAACCGGTTACCGGGGGGTCACCCAGACCTCCACGATGACACTGTGAGTGCGCAAAGACGCTCGAGGACGATTTGTGTTTGCACGCAATGCGTGCTAGCTTACCTATCGGATTTCGCCAATTGCGTGAACACGCTTTGGCCTTCCCTGGGCCAATCAGCGCAAAACACGGAGGAACCAATGAATATCGACAGGGATCTTCACGCCAAGTAAGTGTTTTCTGCCATTCACACAATGCGGTTCTGTTGGATTTTGAGATTTTTGAAGGAGATCTGTTAACTTTTTTGGAATTTACAACGCTTCCATTGGGCCAATTCAGCTCACGCATGTAGAATTATCAGCCTAGTGCAATTGTAGAAAGTAGAAGGAATCTAAAATAGCTGGTCGCTTGATTTGTGAAATTTGTTGCCTTTTCCTTATCACGGTTTCGGCGTGTAAGGCCGGGCTTGGGCGTCAAGTTTGGTTAAAACAGTAACGGGTACAAGTAATTGGCAGCTTATGAACGAGGTGCGTCTAACTTTCAGCAGCACCATACGCTGGTCAAACTCGATTAAAAAAATTCAGAGAATGGAGTTTTATAAAAAGTTTCGACATGCGTGTTTCGAGGTTTAATTTGTTCACGAAACGCCCAGTGCTCCTGGATGAGATGGTTTATCAAGGAAATTTGTAAAGGTGACAATTTTGAGGTATTTACCAGCGTGTTATTCGCAGTTAAGATCACTCCTTCCACTTAACCCCCTCATTTTACTTATTTGTTGCCATTCTGCAGTCTGCACATATTGTGGATCGGTCAGTTCGTGAATCTATTTGCACCACTCTACATGACGACAGGTGTGATGTGGTACCTTCGACCTGTGGACAAAGACGAGACGATTTTGAATCCAGCGCTCTGGCGAACCACGGTCAAAGCAAAAGTTCGATTTGAGTGTGAGGTACGTTCTCGCTTTATAATTGGTCAAGCTACCATCAACCAATGTAAATTAGAGCTGAGAATTAACCAACTATAGCTATGCTAGTCTTTTAGGGTCACATTAGTAATATCCACCACACGTTGGTCCCACTTTGAGCGTTGCTATTGGCTTGCTAGCACAACCATCCAATTAACGCCTCCTTGTCCCTGGGCAGCGAATTCATCGACTTTAGCTGTGCAAAATCGACAATTTTATGAAAATTTTATAGTTATTGTGCTGGATTGAGTTAAGATCCAGCTAGAGCAGCAAGACATCAAGAAAATTCGGTGTAAAATGTATTTATAGTTTTTTGTATAATGAGACAACTAATGCTAAATCCATTATTAGAAAGTGGTTAGCTGTTAAACAGTAAATTCCATAGGCATAACTGAGCAGTAGATAAAAAATTGCATGTTTTTTATAAAAAAATTCCGCTGAAACACGATATCTACGTGCGGAGCATATCCATACACTGGTGCAGTATCACGGCATCGCAGTTTAAAGCGCATGATTCACAACAGGGCTCTTAACATTCTTCCAGTCCTGCCAGCACGTTTGGACTTCGATGATGGGCACGGCCGTGTTCTCCGTTTACCCGAGCATCTCCGTCGACAACGCCCTTGAACTCTGCTTCACGCTGATGGGTCAGCAGTGCACCAACTGCGACTCCAAAGTCTTCCAATCCGCGATTTGGTACCCCGAAGAGGTCATTCGGGTATGTCAGCTATGAATTTCATGAAAATGATCAAACTCTCCCTCCGAACGCTCATTGCAGCCGCCGGAACTTTCTTCTGCAAAATACCGTTTGTAGGAATATCGACTAGATGTTTTGTTTCCTGTCATCGATTTTTATTTTAAACCCATATGTACACACATTGTGTTATTTAGCCTGCTATAATTGGCAGCGTTTATTTCTTGTTCTCTCTGTGTGGCAACAAGTTCACAGGTGACTCCTTTTGTTTTAGTGAGCTGGTTATAGTTACAGCGGTGGGTTTGATTAATTGCAACCGTACTTGGTGCATTGCTAAGCAACGGAACGTCTAAATAACATTTAAACAATCATTTATCGATTTTGTTTTTAAACAGGTGCCGTGTCCCGACTTTTAACGCAAAATTAGTGTGATGCAGTCTATTTGAAGTTTCAAATGGCTAAACTTGCAGTTTAGAGTTAAAATGGCCAATTTTGTAAAATTCTAACTAAAGATCAGATTCGTAAATGAAGTCTCTTTTGAATACGCCGTGGCATTTTTAAAATTGCAAACTGCTCACATAAATTTTTTTAAGCGAGCAATGAAAACGATTTCATATTTATCAAAACAAGTCCCCCCCTCCCCGGTTAGAATCTGTGGATTGTTTTCGCACAAGTCAAGAGGCAAAACATTTACCCCAAGGTCACAAATGGTTAAACTCACTGAGCCAAACTTAGTGTGACCCGCGGGCAGATTCACTTACTCTCGATTTGTCGGTGCTCCTAGGTTTTAAGCTACATCCACTGGCAAATATGCGACGAGTTTCTGATGTTGAATGGGACCCCTCAAATGGCCGCGCTCAATGCCAGAAACACACCACCAGAGAACACTTCAAGGTCACGCAGAGCCCTGTTAGCTGTCCGCACCGTGTGCCGGTCAGTGAGTTTGGCAGGAGGACGCCAGAATCCCATCTACCAGAGCCTTCTAACGTCTCGATCGGGTCGACCCCTGAAGCACCATAACTCCGCCCAGTGCGAGGCGTGTCTCAGAGGCGTCTGTCTCTCTCAGAAGAGGAGCCTTGAGAAGACGGAGTTCAAGGCGAACACCAGGACCTACACGAGGCGTCGACGACGATGCCCCTTCACCGGCCTCACCGAGAAGAAGGACAAAGCCACTAGCATAACGCCAGAGAAGGTCCACGAGTTAGCGGAAGCCAGGACGACCCTCAAAATTGAGGAGGACATGTTCAAGCTGTGCATCCAGGTTCCAACGCACAGCACGATGTTTGGATCAGTTAAGGCAGCGAACAAACGCGAGGTAATAGTGTTCCGCTCGCTGAGGTGCACCAACGTAGTCGACTCCAAACCAGACGTCGTGGAGAAGCCGTGGAGGTCTTGTGGAGACTTGGTGGAGTGTCTGAAGAGCTTCGCACGAGTCACAATTGGTGATCCGGAGGTGCCAGTTTAATTACAGTCGCTTCAGCATCGTGAATCACTTCTGACAAAGACTTGACGTTTGTTTGTCTAAATCAGTACCCAACGCGCCTAGTTCAAATTCTGCATTTATTTTTTAAACCATGCTCCGTTTATTATTAAATTGACAGTAGCTGGACTGAAAAAAATATTTTGATATCAACAAGGAGTGATACACTGGATACGGGGTTTTTGTTTTGACAGTCGTGTTAATTTAAAAAAAATTGTCGACTTTGTGGAATGCAGCATCTGACAGGTATGCTTGTATGCGCGTTGACTGATAGCTAGCCTAAGTTATTTAAAAGATACTTCCTTTTTTCTTTTGAAAAAAGGGGACAATTTGCAGGTTTTAAAATTTAATATTATCAAACTACGCCACTTACAGCTCATAAATTGATTCAGTCACGCATGGAAATAATGCATAGTACCTATGCGTTCTCGAGAAATAACAGGCATTTTGTGAAATAATTAAGGCTGTGTAACTGTAGCTAGGCGAATTTATCTTGTCAACTGTTCAACTTAATAACAAGCCTACATTTCTCAAATCAATTTCTCACAGTGCTTATTTACCCAGTTTTAGCCCATTTTCTGGGAGATCTGAAGAAAATTCTCACTTCTTACAATGTGCAATTTGTTACGTCAAGATCTTGGAAATTTAATCCAAATTTTATCTTTAGTTCACTTCCATTAGTGGCAATCGCGTGTTGTGTTATCCATGAATACCGACTCTCAGGTACCCAAACCGCTGTACTTATATGAGCGTAGTAGGAATGAATATTGAAAAACATAAAAATCTGGAAATGTGGTTTGAAAATGGTCATAATACCTTTTAATTAGTACAAACCTCGGTAATTTTAAATCCTACACTGTCGTAGCATATATTCTTTAACTGAGTGAAGCATTGACCCCATTTTCAAGTACTGGTAGCCTAGAAATGTTCCCTGCTCAACCACAAGGCACTACGTGGCGACGGCACGCTAATGAGTTGATCACCAAAATTAAATCTCCAACTCTACAAATATTGAGTTGTCGAGGTTCTGAGTAAAGTTTGTCGTAGTCGAGTGTCATTGATTCACACTCGCTAATTCGATCACTCCAGCCTCCGACACAGGGTCCCCCTTTTCGCAGCATGTCACCATGCTCGCGGATCATCAACTCGCGCCTCATTCGCTCGAATTTTTATCTTGGATTTTCCTCGCACCTGGGTCTCGATGTTGGCTCATCTATGACTCCACTTCTAAAATATAAATGCACAGGCGCAAATGCCACCCACGACACAACGACACCAACGTGGTTGACCTCTGAAGTACACGGTAGTGTCCACGTCCGTCCGTGTCTTTTTCTTCATCGCGGTTATCAGGGAAGCGTAATCGGGCCAGAGTTAATTCATTGGCCCCGGCGTGGCTCAAGACCACATGCTGGGGCTCACATCAATGTGCGGCGTTTTCAATGCTGCTTGATTAATGAAATACGAAAATACCAAAAGTGCCTAAAGATTCAGTTTTAGACCAAGGCTCCGGTCAATCCACTGAATTTGAATACACAAAAACAGAGCCCATTTAAGCAGTATCGTGTGAAAGACTTCACTGGAGAAGGTAACCATACCACACATTCATACTCCTGCAGACATTTGCAGCAAAATGCCAAAAATCGATTAGGACGATCGATATTTAGTTTTCGGTGAGAATTAAAAAAAACCCACATCAGAACGAATTCAATATTTGTGTTTTACACCTCAAATGCTAAACTCTGCATTTATTTTTTAAACTATGCCAAATAAAATAATTCTCCAGAGATGATGACAATAATGCAAAATCAACTATATAGCGTTCCTAGTCCACACACGGAGAACAGAGCTGAAAACATCACACAGGTATTGTGTATTTTGAGCTGGCTCCAAGCGAATATCGACAGTCAAAAGATAGTGACTGAGAGTAGATTAACGAGCGATCAAGTACCCATTTGCAGTTTTAGTTAGTCAAAAAGAAACTTAGTATAAACTACGCCTTGCATGCACCTCGTCTGTAAATAATTCCGATTATATGGAAATCTCATTTGCATCTACTTTTTTGTAGTTTTTTTTGTGAGACTTGGATTGGCTAATGCATTTTAAATGTTGTTTGATGTAGAAAGTGGTTCGTTGGTGAACAATTGAATGTCTCCAACTGCCCACGCTACATATTACCATATGTCTCGTGGCATATGGTTTAAAACGCAGGCATATGCTCATCGTGGGTTCACTTTATGCTATCGTAAATTACCCCATTTTGGTGAGGTTGTCGTACTGCAAATTGCTGATTTCGAATTAACCACTCTGTAACCTCTGTGTTATAAAAAGTTAAAACAACAGAAGTCAGGCCTAGTTGTCAGTTCAGTGATTGGTATGATTGGTTTGGAATTTAACCAATTAGGTGATTAGTGGGTGAAGGCGAGTTAGTATTGGTTGACAAACTGCCAATCTGATGGCGTTTCCCAGTGTACCTGTCACAGGAATTTGTGATGTTCAGATCGCACATCCTTGGCAATGGCGGCGCCACGTATGTGCAATTTAGGATTACTGTTATCAATTACTTCCAGAGCGTCTTGTATGCAGATCATCTGCATTAAATTCACCAAGTGGAACGATGAAATAATGAGCAGAATAAATTAATGTCTGGACTCATGCAAAAACCACTTTCGGAACTATTGTTTTGATCCACTTTCACTAAATTTGCCGCTATCCATTACTAAAAACAGGATTGACAAGTTGCGGAGGAATGGTAGTCTGTGCCTATTTGTTATCTACACACGAAAGCTAACCAAACTGTGTAGAGATAAAGTGCATTTTGCAACACAAAAGCTAAATGCTCGCTCGTAATTGGTGGAACGAAGAGTTACCTTTTGAGTTTATTTATTGCAATTTATTACTTAAACAAGAACCTAATGTGAATAACAGGCAATGGGTGAGAGCCAACCAGTAGGAGTAAAGAGAAGGCTGGCGCAAAAATTTTGATTGACAAAATCTTTTGTACTGTAATTGCCATTGTTCGAATTGGTCGAATCCACATTATCAAAGGAATTACGCAAGAGATTAGGCAAATAAATGGCATTTTTGTAGAGACGAAAACACCTGAAAGGCAATTGAATGTGTCTAAGTCACACAGGGGCTAAATGATCTGCGTTGGATTCTACATTGCGGATTTGTGAGGAAGTGGGTTGAGCTGGTTAGGCTACACGTGGCCTTTTAGCCTGTTAAAGTTTCATGTTTCAGATAGGAACACTTAACATCGCTTGTGTTCGCTTGCAATGATCCTGCGCTGATCGTCCTTGACAGAGCCCTGAGTCATCCAGCGTCATTTGAAAGGCGATGGAGCTATTGAATTACTGAGGGCCTAAAAAGGGACCAGAATCACGCCTGGACCAACGCTAGAAGCAGACACAAGTCAGCGTGCACTGGAGCGTTGCCTATCTCTGAAACTAAAGACACTGCGTGCGGTGCAAAGAGAAATCCAATAATCGATCTAAAAATCAATCGTGTTTAGTAGTAACGTTCGAGAACGCTCATGAACAAATCTGACGTAGGCGTTGCCAGCTGATTACGCTAGAGTCGTCCCGAATCCATAGATTGAACGCAACCATGCACGATTGAGAAATGAAGGAGAGGAGTAGGAGGAAGAGAGGTAACGACACCAACCTCTATCAAATGATTCTAGTCAGTTATGAATGCACAGTAGAGTCACCTTTGTGCACGCCAATAGGGCACAGACTTGCACGAGGTATAAACAGACGAGTGTCATCTTAAAAACACGGGTTGTTGGAAATCGCATATGAACCAGAATCGACAAATGTAGTGGACAAGAATTGTCACGATTCCCTTGAGATGCGCTCAAGGAAAGATGGGCATTCCACTGGCTTTTCCTTTAACTCTAACCCAATACGGTAACAAAAATGCGACTTCAAATGTGGAATAGATTAGAAAAAACATAACTGCAGTGGCTTACTTAGCACTACCTTGGAATCCTCTTTTTAACAGTCCTGAAAAGTCTGGGAACAAGCAACGGCGGATACGACAGACAGTTGTTTTTGTGTGCGAATGATTAAGTGGATAGCGCGCATCTTATAACAGTAACCGATGAAATGACAATGATTCGTTGGCACTCTTGAGATCAGCAATCAGACCTTACTCACACGCGACCGCTAACTGTCTACGATAGCTCAACACACTCGCAGATACAGGTACGATCTTCGTTTAGCAAACCTCAATAGCAAAAAAGTAAACGGCGCCATGGACCGCAATCCTCAATTAATGTTTGATCCCAGCTGGTAGCTACGTATGGCGACAAACAAATATGACTAACAGCCAAGGAATTTGCAAAGGCATGCCATTTGATTGGTTGAAATTATTGGGGATCGATAAAGTTAGATTTGACTGCTCCAAAGGATAGAATTTATAATTTTATTATCTTCAGTTCATTTTAAGGTAAACGAAATGCCTAGAAATTTAAAGGAAGATCTGTTTTCCAGCGTTGAATTATTTCGTGAATGTGAGCAATTAAACTCAAATTCCCGCGAAAAATAGCCTTTTAAAGAAAAGGCGTTAGTCGATGTCCATGTTTTCGCCTAAATTAATGGAACTTGAAATTAAGGGACATCTACTGCTTCTATAAAAACTGAAATAAATTTTAAATTAAATACCCGAAACACGACGATTAATGCCTGTGGCCAAAAGAGCAAAATTTGCGTGATTTTACGAAGTTGTCTTGCATTTCCGGAATAAAATTTGACTCGGTTTCCGGTTAGGAAATGCCCCCAAACAAGCCTATGTGTCTATCACGATGTCTTGCTCCTATCTTGTCCAATCGGAAGTCATTCTTTAAAACAAAAGGCTCAACAATTCTCTATCTGAGATGGAAAACATCCGGTGTAAATAAAGGCACATGATCATTCAGTAATGCGCTCTGAGTCGACGAGCCAAACACCGGCAATAATTTTGGCATCTTCCGAAATTAAGTTTCATAATCAGGCAATAGAAAAAAATAAGCAGGACATATTAACAACTAATTGACTTACAGCCTGATAATTGAAAACCGCTTGAAGTCATGGGATTTCCGTACAAATTCTATGTAAAGAGCAATGTTAAATTTGAAAACATGATTTTTTTTCGTTCAGTGGTTTCCTTAACTTGCCTTCGGTATTTAAACCCTGCTACTGTGGCAGTTCCTGTGTATCTAAGCGTGCATTTTTAAGCCTGTAATGACAAGCGCTATATATCGGAGGAAGAAATTTAAACAGAAATAAGTTTGAATGAAAAAAAAATTGATTTTAAATTAACCGCCTGATTTTTTCGATAAATCGTTAAGATGATTGCAGGAGTTTGTGCCTTATTTAAGAGCTAGATCAAATTTGGCGCATTTGCAGAAAAAAGGAGTTGATTTTGTTAAATGCAATTACTTTCCTGAGAATTTTTTGATTTCTATTATTGTAGAAATTGTGCTGCCTCACTTTAGTTAAACGGCGAATGCCGAAGTATTTCCCGCTGAAACTTGCCACGATTCAGAGCTTTCTACCGAGGACCATGCGGTCTAGCATCGGTGACGTAATGAAAGCTATGTAATGTTGATTAGACGCGCATGGAACCTATCAGAGAACAGCACAGTAGAAAAATAATCTTTTGCAATCCCGACACCAGACACTCAACCAAATTCCTGTTGAATGCACCAAACCGGCTTTCACCACACATTCTGCCCCTTCATGTCCACGCTTTCAGTTTCTTTTTTTCTGCTTTATTATTTTACACAAGCAATTTCCACCTCTAGTTATGGTCCTATCAAAAATGTAATTTTTTTGTCCCACGAGGCTATAAAAGGCTGTTGGAACTCGCAAAGCCCACATGTTAGATTTTGGAGTTTATTAGTTACTTTAAAAAGCAAAAAATTAATAGAATTGTCAACATTTCCCTTCATCCCAATGCCAAATAGTCAGATGGAAGTCGCCATTTTGAGGTTAACTAAATCACCGCTTAACAGTTCTAAACGTAGGTGCACAATCCAAATTAGAGTCTCGAATGTATTCGGTTGCAACTAAAACCGTTGCTTAGTTATTTTTAAGTTTAAACAATTCGCCACAAGAAAACACAGTTTGATTTTTCACAGAGAGTATTTTGGATAGCTGCCATTTAGTAAAATGACACATCAGCACTATGCAAGTTTTTTTGCGTTTTTAAAAAAAGTATTTTAAGGGAAACCTCAGGTAAACACTGACTTTTTGTTTCTGATGCTTCATAACTACTTCGGCTATTAAACCGAGAATTGCATTTCTTTCCACTTGACTGTGGAATACTTGACAGGAGTGAAAATATGCTCCATCCAGTAAATTCACAACCTCAGTACTAACCTTGGACTGTCCCCTTTTTAGTCCTCTGTTTTAACACTGAATAACTCAGCTGCCTGTTTAACGCTTAATTCTCCGTTGGCTATGGTATTTACACACACCTCCGAGTACTGGGTGTCGGATCGGGCTGCAGCATCACTGCAAATTCAAATGTCGCGGTGTGAGTTACAGACCTGCATCAGCGTCCATCACCAGAACCCTTTCCGAAAAGTAGGATCCTGCATTTATCTTTTTAGAAACAATTGCTTTTTTTAATGTACTCCCATTATTAATATCGAAGTTAACCATTCATTCGATCATTCCTTCTTTAAACACATTAACAAAGGATTCTCGGTATTGTGGTTATTTCCTCTAAATTTAGACATTTGATACTCGGGTTGTTGCTGAGTAGATATGTTCTTCTACATGGTGGATTTGTGAGGAAATGAGTAGAGCTGGTTAAGCTACAAATTTGGTGTCACACACGAATTTAAAATGTGCGCGCTCATTACATTAACCAATCAATAAAATCGTACAGATGACGCACGAATGTTGCTATTGACACTTTGCATTATCAATGAGCTTGCACTTTTAGAGACTTAAAAATCCAAGTGTAAATTTGTATCTAACTGCCAGACTACATCAGTGAGTCCTTCACTAGACAATACGCTAATGTGTTTAAAAGCCACATTATTGCTTCTTCGATGATACGTTTAGTTGTTCTGCTTCCGTCAACAGAATTTAGACCTTAAAATTAAAATCAATTTCATGGTTGCGGTGTATAAATACCTACTCAAACCAGTAATGTACCCTCCAAGTCAAAACCGTCAAGGTCACATCGTAGCACCTTCAACGAGCAAAGTCACGTGGTTAATGATCAGCGCGTTAACCTCGAATTTCACATAATCTAAAATAGAGCGTCCACTTGGTTACTGACACGAGCTCTTGACACTACAAAAATGACTAACTGTCATCTGAGCACTAAATGTCACCAGCTGATATAATTGACATCGTAAACAGTGCCCTCACAGGTGATACGTCAGATTACCAAGACTTTGCCTAACTTTAACCTATCGAAAATCGATTAAATGTTGGAAGAAAGGCAGGAGAACTTAGCATTATTTACAAATGCCAACTGGACTGCGCGTAAATTGATGTAGAGATCATCTGCTCACCGCATTATCTTCCCAGCACAAACGTCTCTCCTTAAACCACAAAAGGAATTTAATTTGTAGAAGGCTGAATCTGCCTTAAATAACATGATATGTCTTTCTTTCGCACACAGTCCAGCTTCGGGTTAGGTAGATGGCTTTCTCTAGGCACTCAAACTTGGCTATCGTTGTGTGTTTTAAAGGGTTTTGGTAACACAGAGCAAAGAAGCCTGCTCACAAGGTGGAGATGTGTAAATAAACTGGGCACTACGATGAATTGTTAATTGAAGTCAGCCCCCGAGTACTGATATTGCTCAGAAGGTCACAATATCATCTATCAGATCGTTTAGCTTTTGTTGTATTATTGAAAAAGACTACCTTTCAAGTGGAGCCACAAATCTGGTGCAGCAGTTTTTAGACAAAACAGGGGTGACGCCTGTCTACCCTGGTTCATTTACTCAGTCTTACATGCCGCCACCGACTGTCGAATACTCGAGAGTCCACTAATTGGGCAGAAACTCACTAGCCAATAAGGACTCACTATGGCAAACCCGAAGGGTTGTTTAGAAGGACCGACATGCTGATGCCTGCAGACAATAGAGCCAGCACATAGTTGGCTGTGTTCGCCTTGCATCTACGACAACAATGACGCAGGAAATGCCCAAGGCTGCTTTGGTGAGGACAGTCGAGAAGTTGCTTGAACCGGCGACTGGTAAATCGATTTGTCTTACGGCAACAGAACTCCTCGCTGTGTGGGACTTCTTCGACATTGATCGTAAGTCTCTTCCGGAGGCGAATTTTACCGTTGTATTATCGTTGCCATGAAAACGCTGTTATAGGGAAAAACCCAACACAGAACAGCGTGTTCAGTGTTCTTTGCGTATACAGGTTTTTGCCAACCAAAATCCTCTTGTTTGAATAAACCAAAGTTTCACAATTCTACAAATGGCCTTTGTTCAATGAGCGAAGCGTTAATCAAACTTAACACACTGGCAAAATATTCAGTGGGAGAATTATGAGTTCAAAAAATCAGCAGAATTATCAGTCGAAGCATAAAAGTACTTTTTGTATCGATTTTTACAATGCCGAGGATCGCAATCAATTTTGGCTTTTTCCCAATTGAGGTGTGCTAAACGATATTTGCAAAATTTGTGATTTTTTCCCTAAAATGTCGTTTTTAATTTATTTTTAAGGCAAATCGTACGCGCCTGTGCTTGCTTCTAATGTTTAAAAGTCGAATTTAACACCAAGTTTTTTAAAAAAACGCATATTTTATTTCCAAAGTCAGTTTTATTTCCGAAAAGTGAGGTGTGTGGGACTTACCGGGAGGTTTTTTCAAGTGTGTGGTTTTAATTACTTACCAAAGGCCGCTCGTAAAAATGGTTTGATTTTTATAAAAAAAAATATTTTTGTTTCTTAAAGTTGAATTGACTTGTTTTGGGGTAAATTTGCTTCAATTTGGCCGTTTCGAAATTTTTATGCAGGTGACGGTGCTCTTCTTGCTGAGGAATATGAAATCTTTGTACGCGTCCTTGGAGAAATTCTCAAGACCGTTTTCCCTGTATGTCATTTTGTTGTTTGCGTCGAATATTCCCCTCATGAATATCTAAAGTTAAAAAAAGTTTCTAGCACGTGCACATGTCCATTTTACTCAAAGATCGTGCATTTTTTAAAGCCACTTGGCGGTGATGTCATTTAAAATTTAATCTGCTAAAAATATTCTAGTGGCATTGCTAATTATTTGGCTGATTTAAGCGTGGAGGTGTCCAGATTTGACGTGTAGGACCCCACTTTTGGCCCTATTTCCACTCATTGCTCGGAATATATTACTTACACGCACATAAGTAAACTAGCATGTGCAAAATCACGACATACACTGTTTTGACTTATAGAACTACGCCAGGACTTCGCTTCCCGACTTACTTACGGCAGCAATAACTCCTAGCGCGCCTTACCAAATCGGAATTGATGAGGTTAGTTAAATTACTGGTCTAATAATCTGCTTTAATGGCAAATCAATATGGCCTAACAAATTTAACCTCTCACATTTAAAATAGATTTACGAAAACGACTTGTTAGTACATGAAATCTTTGTTAGGATGCTACAAAGCGATCAATGCCGTAAATACGCTTCTTCAGGATTAAAGATTTTGCATTACGAGACCCAGTTGGTGTGTTGAGTTTATGGAAATGAGTGTCTCCCAATTACGTTTCAATTTCATGTTTTTTTCGTAGCCCAAATTTGTAAAACAAGTTGTAAACGACAAGAAGGTGCAAGCCTCACTACTTGAATAGGCGATAACCAATTGGATCTTTTCCGATTGTAAAACTATTTTCAGTTAAATCTCACTACCAGCAGTCCACAATGGTGGCTGTTTGAGTATCTACCTCCGATTTCCATAGTAAATTCATCTCCTTACGACATCAGAAAATTGTTTTTAATAAATTTGTTTAAATAGACTCAGGGGGACGGGGTTTATGGACCCAAGGTCACACTCAAGGACACATTTTTAATCAGACATGATGTATCCCATATTTAACAGTTTATTGCCAAGACAATAACCCGCCTGCTGGACCATAACTGCCATGGCGTAAATAAGATCATAATTTCAAAAGAAAAACAACGGTAAATGCCCATTCTCAGGCTGATTGTTTGCGTCAAGGCAGAAGAATTTTAAGCCTTCAGACGGTGTCGACAGCTTGGAAACGGTCGTCCCAATTAGCCAGTTTGACATAAAAACGTGAGCACAATTTCCATAGCACGACCTGACTTAATGGACATGACCGTAGATAGATATAAAGGAATATATATAGCAGTTTCTTGTTCAAAGCACACGATTTCCCGCCAATTGAATATATTTTTAGCTCCCACAAAAAGGATTTTAAGGTGAAAGAGGTGCAGGCAATAAGGAGAAGGTAAGGAGAGTAAAGTTTTTTTAACAAATTCTAGCGTGACCGAACGAAAACTCATTGATAGAATTTCATTTCCACGAGGAAGTATTTAACTGCCACAAATTTCGTCTGTTCTAGGCAAGACAATCAGCGTTGGCAAACTATATTTTGAGGTATTTGTTAAAAATGCCAATTTTTTTCACTTATCGAAAACCCTGTAGACAAATCACGCACATGGAGCAAAAAGTCTGCCTGCGGTACGCATCAATAGGCTAAAAAATTGCGTGTCATTGTCATCAGGGCATCTAAGTCCCGTTTTCACGTTGCCTTTTGTTTACGACAATCGGTTTGTTTTTTCTCAGAACCTCTGTGTTCAGAATCAAATTTTTGCCATGAATTTAAATCACTGGAAATGCACCTACTCAAACAAATGTCACGTAGTGTATATGCAAGTCTATTCATCAGTACAAATTTCACACCGAAAAAGCAGCTTTTCAGCAGTGTTTAGTTAATTATGAAAAAAAAAATTTTTATTAAGCAAAACAAAATAATAATTGTGTGTGTTTTAAGGCATTTACATAATGATTCTAATCAAGCATGATCGTAGCATTGTATTATACAAGCAAATTAATTTTCAACGGTCGCATAACGCAACAACAAATTTTTAACGGAAAATCGATAAACAATAAAGCACTACAAAAAATCTGAATACATTCGAAGAATCGTTCGTCACTAAAAACAAAGTTTTCTGTTGTTTTAAACTACTTTCTAAATCATGCGACATGAACAGTAATCAACCAATGAAATTTGAGAGTGAGTCACAGCAACCAATCGACTTACGACTAATCTGTTTGGACAACTGTCCACACAATATTTGCTTACCCAATCAAATTTTTTGGCAACATAGTTTTGAATTTAATCTGATCACTACAGTGATGGTATTTTTTTAGATATCGCGCTTACTCAGCGGAGAGGAAAGATTCCTTTTAGTTTTTCGTAAACTCTCCAACATCCAATCAAGCTTCGATTTCATGAAGGTTAGTGAGACAGATTTCGTTCAAGAAAGCTCCAGATCTGGCGCGAATTTGACTCTGATGGCAATGGATTTTTGGACAGCAAGGAACTACAGGTAATGGATTGGATTATTACCAGCGACTAATTTGTTTCATTCCAGACATTTCTGCGGAAGATGCTCTCCAAGTCAACTGTACCTGTAACCGATGAAAGAATTCAGGAGTTTGCTTCGCTTATTGTAAGACTAACACCAATTTATTAGTATTGCGCACTGAAACCACTGATCGATTGGGTTCCATGTTTAAAATGTGTACTGCAATAAGAATAAACTAACCAACCATTATTCAAATTATATCGATTTTGAACTCACAAGGAGGTGAAGAATTGGTTACTAGAATAGGCAACTAAGGCCAGGTTATTTTGTAATGTTAATTTAAAGTAAATGAGTCAGTGTAATGATTGCTAAATTAAACAAAAATGACGAGACGTTTAGTGTCAAAAACTGAAGAATCGTTCATTATAAGTTATCACAACCAAGCCAGCAATAGGCTCTCGTGACATAAGTTGAGACGTCCATATGGCAAGGAATCATTGTAAGAAAGAAACAAACCAAACATGCTTCAGTGTAAACATGACAAGTTTGATTCAATTTATTTTCCAGACATTTGAATGCATTGCTAACTTGAAATGTTTAATGTGTTCACTTGCTGCGAATTCTCTATTCGATATCCTCATGCTCTTACTGCGTAATCTTTTGTGTTCAATCCTAGTTAATCACATTTCAAGTCACTAAACAGGTGTAGAACGCAGTGAGACACAAATCAAATGGGCTTGGCAGTCACATCAAATCCATCTTTCTGAGTGGTTTTCATTACGATAAGTTTGTACTCTGAGATGTAGAGAATTTTGAAATGTCTCAGGGGAAATATTGATTAGACGTTTCAATGTGCCTCAATTTTGTCAAGTTGCTTTTATTGAAAAGCCTTGGCATGGTCAAGGCCGGTCACGTTGTGTCCACATTCACGGTTCTTTGAGGCAGCACCGATCGAGTTCTTCTTGAATGAGTCCGCATATTGTCAATGGTGCCGAGAGGATTCGCTTCGTCCCAAATGGTAGCCTTCTCCTAGCTAACTTTCCCATCAGCCTGGAATGGTGGCAAGTCACTAACATCATGGTGGTTTTTGAGCGTTCCATCGATTGAGAGAATGCTGCACTGTTCCGTTTGCCGTCGGCCCGAAAGCCTGCACAAAAGGAAGCTTGCGGAGTGCTAGTTGCCAGCATTTGAATGGGGCGCCAATGAGGTGTCTCGACGCACGCCCTTTGTACGAACCGTCTGGAAATGGAAACCAACTCTTCACAACGTCTTCTGAAAATGCTGGCCGGCCATTTCGTTTTTTTGACACGAACAGCCAACCGCGGTCAAATCTCCTTTGGTTATTTTAATGATGAAAGAGATACATCGTCAGACGTTAAGTAGAATTGGTAAAATTTAGAAAATTTGAGTAATTTAAGTGAGGCAAATTGTAGAAGAACAGATTATAACTAAAACAATTGAAGGTGAAATTGTTCACATAAGCAGCCGGTGAACCTGGGTCAAACGTTCGGCGATTTCTAGCACTGTTTGGCCCGCGGATCAGGCTTTTACATTGCTGCTGCACCGTTTGGACTGTAATATACCA